TTGGGGACGCTCAACGGAGGAGGCTACAAGCACCGCGGTTGTGCCGTATTTCACTCAGGCGCATGTTTACATATTGTTCGGCTGAATGTCTGACGTTTTTCCTCCAAGTGCTACTTCAGCTTCTTCAGGAACCGATTTCAGCGCCGGGAGCCTTTTCAGTGACCGAATTACTGAAGAGGCTTCCGGGACACGTGGAGCGATAAAGTCGGACACCGTGCCAAACAACGCAACACGTCGGAGAGCTGGAGAAGAGGCTGCTGCAGGAACGCGAGCGATGGCACGAAGACGGAAAGACGCGTCGCCTGCCACGGCACGCGACGGCTTTGCCTGGCCGTGCCTCAACGCCCCGCCCTGCCGGTGCTCTTCGCGGTGTCACGGTTTACACGGGAGCCGGAGGTGGCCGCTGTCACGGCCAAATCGGCAACGACACCGCCGCCGCGGGCAGCAGTCAGCCCTCAAGATGTTGGCGACGGTGTCGACGCAGCCGCGGACTTATCTGGGCGAGTAAAATGAACGTTTAATTGGAATTAATTGAATGAACGATGGTCCCGATGGTGTCAACGAATCTAATTAACGAATGTTAGGACGCGGAACGTTAAACAATTAAGTTTGGGTTAGGGTGAAGATGAGATTTTTTTTATAGAGGGGCGGGTTTCAATCAATATTTGAATTACGGAAATATCAATGCCACGGGACGTGTGTGTATGTGTGAGAGAGAGAGCAGGCAGACGCTCGCTGCGCATATCAGGCCTCCATTGTGATGCGGCCGCAGCAATTATGCAAATCGTACGTTGGTGCCGCTCTCGTGCCTTTAACGGGCCCTCCGCTGTAATCAAATTAACGGCGTCAACAAAGGCGCCGCCGCAGGCTTCGCGGTGACGCATTGCGAGGCCTCGGAGGAGGTGTGAAGGAGGCTGATTTCTGTCTCGCGGCTCAGGAATTACGAGTCCTTGTTTGCCCGGGCAGTTTTTTTCTGGTTAAACCGAACAAAAAAAAAACCGCTGAATTTTCCTGCAAGATGTGATTATGGGCCGGCCCCACCGTCCTCGCGGTGACTTTGACTCTGAGGCAGAATATTAAACAAGCTGCGCGTTGCTATGGCTGTACCCCACGCACTCCAGCGTGTCGCAAACGCCCGGCGCATTTTTTAAAATGATGCATCAGCCACCTTCGTTGCAACACCTTGTTAAGATTCACAGTAAAAAAGAAAGTATTTACGCAGGAAAGTCTCAAGACTCTCTATAATGAGGATCCTACACTAGGATATTTGGCCAATGCCATCGATGACTGTTGAGCTGATAAATCCACCATGCGTACTTGTGGGGGGTGACACTCAAAACTCCACACAGAAGGATTCGAGAAGCCGTTGCTGTACTGCCATATCTTGGATACCTCGCAAGCCTCGTGCTTACGACACCAGGAAATCCCTGGCAGTTAGTCATGCCACGTAATAAGCCAAGCTGAAACCTGCTTGGCTTCCATGTGGATGTACTGGCGATGTGACTGGGTTTTAAATGTTGTCATAAATAAACGAATACGTTCTGCAGACGTGGAAAAAAATTATACTACATGGTGTAAATATCACTTGAGCAATTTTGACCGACTGAGCGTGGCTGATGAGGCAACATGAAGTGTCTGCTTAAGGAGCATTAAACTTCCAGTGTCGTTAATTGAGCTGTTGACGCCATTACTTAGAACACGAAATGTCAATTTGTCTTTGCCATAATTTATTAAGGCAATAAGTGATTTAATAAAAAAAGAAGGAATGTAAACGCCGACGCGAGTTATTAAAATAATTTTTTTGCCACGTTACAGCCACTGGCTGCATTTAGCGACGCCGTTAAACACGACCATTAATCCCGGCCGAGGCGATGGCGTCGACTGCCCACGGGTTTCCAGAGATGATGTATTTCCCTCCGACGGAGGGGTTGCGTTGTCGCGTCGTTTCCAGCATGGCGCGGTGCCGTCGCACTTAACGTAGAGGGAAGTGAGTAATGACCGAGCCGCACGAGGATCGGCTGCACCGCACGGTTCATGTTCGACGTGCGCACGTGCTCGCACGTGCGCGCGCGCGTTACGAACACGCACTCACTGGAATTTCATATCAAAGGCATTTGCGGGAAATGTGCACGCGTGTCTGAGGCTGCCGAACGCTGCATAAGAGTGAAATAAAATTCAGCCCCTCCGGTGCGCTGTTGCTGGAACTGCTGCCGCGTCCACACCAGAGCCATTCCCTGCCGTCAGATTTTATTTTATCTCTTAACTCTCCAACCTAATTCTGTACACGGGTGACGAGGTGTCAAGAAAGGAAAGTGGTCCCGGACAGTTGCTCGCAGGTATAATGGCCGGTGGCCGAGGATAACGACCGACTGGCATCCAAAGCACGGAGCACGTCCGAGGGACGTCCACCCGACGGAGATGGAGCGACGAGATCAACTCGTGTGCCACTGCTGGCCAGGATCGTTGTATCACGTGACAATGAAGGATGGGGATGGCCTTTAGAGGCCGTCATTCAGCAGTGGAGAGATCACGACTGACGATGACGATGATGACTTTCAAAGAAAATATATAGATTTTGATTTAAAGCTTTCGTGACTGCAGGGATTCATATTCTTGGCTCTTTCAGTAAAGTCACGTAGAAGGGAAACAACATTTTATTGTTTTATATTTTTATTATTTGATTGTTTCCCTTCTACGTGATTTTACCGAAAGAACCAAGAATATAAAATATATATTGTCAAGGCCCAGTGTGCTATTATTGCCACAACTTATCTTTTTGTGGTGACAAACGGTCTTCGTCTAGCAGTGGATGGCTCGTGGCTGATGTTGGATGCTGATGGTAGAATTTGGCTCCATGTGCTTTGAATGGAAACGTTGAAAGATTTACCAATTTAAATATCAAACCAACCGCACATTATAACCGCCGCTCGCCACTCTCAATCGCGGAAGCGCACGCGGCTCTCCCATCCTCTTAACAAGCCACGAGTTCCTAATCGCACTCGGACGCAGTCAGCCAGACACCCGTGCGCATTTCATTAGGTGGAATGCCACGTGCATCACACGAGGAAATGAAATGCCTTTGATATTTATCCGGCACAGATGGCACTGCTCATCGCTCCCGCTCAGACCGAGGAGGAGACGATGGCGATCGTGATGACTGTGATGACGATGGCGGTGGTCGTGGTGGCTGACGGAACGAGGTTGGTTGGCCGGCAAAAGGGAAACCGGCCACACCACCAATTCACTCACCGTGCCCTGGCTGGGACGCAGTGTCATTGTCAGCGTCCACTGGAAGTAAAGACCAAAGCACAGCAGGAGAGGGTAAGGGGGGGGGGATTCTAAACCTACGTTTTAAAATTAAAAGAAGACACAATTCCAAAAAAGAATAATAATGCAATACTAATGGCTTTTATATAGCGCTCTTCATGCAAGGTATCCCAACTAAAACAAGGAGAAGAATCATGCATATTTCATGGATTTCCGCAATGCTTTCCATCATGCGTTTGAAGTCATTAGATTGTTGATCTTTGTAGCCGTTAAGAAGAATGAGTGGGATCGGGCAGGACCGCATGGTGGGTGAGACTGGCGATGGAATCACAGTCAAAGGAGGGACCGCGTCCAAAAGTATGACCGCTGCATGGGACGCAGCACAAAGGTGAGCTCTTGCGCAGGCGTGAGATCGATGGCGAGCGCTACTGGCTCGTGAGGGATGTCGATCGACGGCGCGGGGAGGAATTCATCCAACAGTGGAGAGAAAATTCTAACGTGCAAAAAAACCTAAATGGCGCACTCAACTTGTGCGGAGTGAATTATCAAACCTTTCCACTTCTAGGTGTAGATTCGTACTGCCGCGTCGCTAAGGACCAATGCTGCTATGGTAGTGAATGAAAGCAACACAAATCTGTTCATTGGGTTGGGTCTTCCTTTACAATAAGCTGTGCGGAAAACTCAAATGGCGAACGTGGATTCTCACGGAAATGAGAAAGAAGAGTGATCGGTGGAGGGGGGGGGGGGGGTCCAACGATCGCCAACAACACGAGAGCAGAACGCTTAGAAGACATAAATCAACCCGAATTAATTCGCGAATGAAAACGTGGACAAGAGTTGGGAGCCGCACGGTGAAAGCAAAAAGAAGAAAAAATAAATTGATGCTTCCCGACGCCGTGGGCCGGTCTCAGCGGCAGTCGCCGGGCAAAGTTGAAATTTTTCCATTTGTGAAATTGCCCCCGAGTGGAGTTAGCGCTCCCGATTCGCGCTGGTCCCAGGGCCCCGCAATCTCTGCCTCCGTGTCAGAGTTGATGCATAACGCCCGCCAAGGGGGTAAGGGAGGAGGCGCGGATGTGGGGGGGAGCAGGGAGGGGGATTCAAAAGCAGAATTCTATGAACGAGCATAGAATTTACACCACACGGGGCTCGCAAGGCAATGCTGGATTCCAACACCAACTGTGCGCTGTGCCAACAGCCTTAGGATACAGAGCCCACAGGTTACTGCGGGATTACTAAGCCATTCGTGCACGTCGGGTTAGCCAACTCAAAAGGTTCATAAACCCGGGACATGTGGGAAGAGTGGAGAACTATGAAGCAATTGACCAAAAACGTGACTCTCAATATTCGCCGAGGAGACTCGCGGATTTTTCAAGGGCAGTTTCCTCAAAGAGAGGACCACATTGGGAAAACCAGGAAGGGTGGCAACCCTCCGCTTACCCGAGGCAAACAAAACGAAAAAAATCCACCAGAAAACCTAACGCAGTAAAGTGCCGTGCAAAACCGACGGGAGTGACGAACAACAACAACGATGGAAACAACTTCTTAGGACCGGGAAGCGTGAAGCACGCGTGTACCCGCAGCGCGACACGATCTACGGGGCTCTTAGGCACACACACACGCACGTGCACGGATGGTGTCGGACATTTGGCACGTGGTGTAAAATGGCGGTGGCGACGACGACGACGACGAAGCGCGACAATGAAGCCACGACGCGCGGGCGCCCCGCCACTCACTCGGCCTGACGATCAGCTTGAGCGGCTGCTTCTGCTGGATGGTCTGCGTGTGCGTGAAGCGCGCGTAGCACACGTAGTCGTCCTTGCCGTCCGTCGGGAGCACGTTGGCGAAGTACAGGTTGCCGTTGAGGCCCTGCGACACGCGCGAGTCCTGCGGGACCCTCTCCATGGCTGCGCCGCCGCCGCCGTCGGGGTAAGGGGATAATAAGGGGATCACGGGGGGTCAGGAGTAGGAGGAGGAGGAGAGACCGGTGTCAACGAAAGGAGATGGTGGAAGTGATTTGGGATGGGGTGGGATAATTGTGGAAGGAGACGGACGCCTCCCCAATGCCGATGTTTGCACACTGCACCAGGTACTTGTGTGAAAAGTTGAGCCGCAGATCCGAAATTACTCACCACTGTTGTTAGCCACGGCTGGGATTCAAATTCAAGTTTACGCATGCACACACGTATGTGTGCAGAAAGACAAAGATTGCCCCTAAAGCCTCCAAACGAGTTTTGGGGGAAGAGCTGTCGGCGAGCACCTATGAAGGACCACACGGCGCACGAGGGGGAGGGTGGCCAGGACCACGCCCGGCCGCCTTGGTCTCCCCAAAACTGATGGTTACACACTACACCAGGTATTCATTGAATGCTGAGTCACCTAGGGGAGGCTCAGAACCGGTTCAGATATTTGTCACTGTTATTGGTCGTGAGCAGTAGCCGGGTTCGTAGTGCAGTGTGCCAACCGCCACACCACCGCTCGACTACGCGCACACACGCGCACGTGTGCACACACGTGCGTGTGCACACACACGCGACGACGACATGAACAGTCGTCATTTGACACAAAGTGGCGATCGCGTCACCACAGGGTTGTGCCAGGCTAGGTGCACATTAAGGCGTGCATGCATAGACACACAATCACACTAAGCACTTAAATACGTGCACTCAATAGTGCACAGCACGCACAGAAGTGAACTCACAGAGAGACGGAGACAGAACGAAGAGGGAGAGAGCGGGAGCCAGACCCTTACACAACCAAGGAGCAACACGTGTACAACACCCTATTAACAAATCATCACAATAAAACTCAAAATTGCCTCCCCCCGACGATGAGAGGAACTCCTGTAAACAGCAACACACAATGAGCAAACAGCAACGAAAACAGACTGCACCCCTCCCCCATAACGAACGGCCGTATACATTTTCATTACCACTTAAGGGGCACGGCGCGATGAATCTACTGACAAATTAGCCGCCGTGAAGGCGGCAGGCACGGCGAGCCCGCGGTTTCCCGTCAACGGCCGGGCGACGGAACACGGACTCGTAACTCGATGAATCGGCCGAAGGGTTGCGCGTCTTTAATTCGCGGATCGCGCGGCGACATGCGGCAATTTAACGGTCATCTCGTTTGTAAAGAGTCTCGTAATTGTTTTTTTGTGGTCAGGCATGCAAACGCCCTCTCGCTATCTCTCACCCCCCCCCACCGCCTCTCTCTCTCTCTGTCTCTCGTGCGCGCAGAATCACACGCTTCGTGGCGCGTTCACTGCCGCCTCGCAGGAGGAAGGTTACGAGTTCGACTCCTGGTTAGGGGTTGTCTCTGTCCATATCATCCCTCCGACGGGTCGATAAAACGAGTAACCACATTGTGCCGAAAATCAACAGCAGTTGTCCTTCGGATTGCCTCAGCTTCTGACCTAGGAATGGGGAGTTTCCTCCGCTGGCTTGCAAGGCCTCATTTAACAGCGCCTCAATGCCCATTTGGGCAGGGGCCCGCGCACTCACTCGGACAAATGAGTCGGTGAAGCCAGAAGAACGTGCACCTCGATCCCGCGTGAAACTCGACCGACGAGCACGCTGCAATCGGTGAAAATCTGGGGCTACATGAACGGGTGAAGTGACATGTGCGATGTTGATGCGCCCGGGGCAGCGGGAGCGGAGCGGGTCGCGCACCGCACTATGAACCCGGTGAACCGAGTTCAATTCACGCTCACGACAAATAACGGCAGCGAATATTTTGAGCCGGTCCTGGGCGTCCCTCCCCTAGGTCAACTCAGCCTTGTGGTGAGCTCCATGGTGTGGCGTGTAATCACCGGCTGGGTGTGGCGTTGACTACCCACGCTCTCGTGTGCCGTGCCGGCCTTCATAGGTGCTCGCTAACAGCATGTGCTCAAACAATCTGTTGAAGGCTATACGGGGAGACGCGTGTCTTTATACGCAGAGCAAGTGTTGTTTGCGAGTACACATTAAGAAAAAAACAACAGCACTTGCCCCCATTGTCTATGAAGCCTTTATGGGGGATATATGTCTTTGTACTCATAGCTAGTACCTATTAAGACCAACATAACAACACTTTTTTCCAACAATCTATGAAGGCCATAACACAAAATAACAAGCAGCGTCGCTGTGGAGAATATAAATAACAATGTATAAGCGGATAATGTCTCCACATATAATCCGTCTCTCCCCATCAAAAATAAATTGAATCAAACCGGCCTTCTGGCAGCGCGTAACTTGAGCAGCACTGATTCGATGCGAGCACAACTCCGGCTCCGACACCACGCGGCATCTCGGGTTGGCAAAGGCCGCAGACGTTCGTGTCGGTACTCACAACCGTCCATCCAGAAGATGATGGGAGGGGGAAGCCCATCGGGCGGGTTGCAGGGCAGTACGGCGGAGGAGCCCTCCATCGCCACGACAGGCTCCAGGTTCTCACGGGGCCACAGGGGGGCACCTGGAGGACACAGACAAAAGATAGAGATGACCCGTGTAGCCCAAACAGACTTTTTGGGGCAAGTGCTGTCGGCGAGCACCTGTGAAGGGTGGCACGGCGCACGAGCGGGGGGTGGGGAGTGGCCACCACCACGCCTGGCCGCGTTCGCCGCCTCCCCAGTGGCGATGTTTACATGCCGCACCAGGTACTCGTTTTAGACTGAGTCGACCTAGGGGAAGGTCCAGGAACGGTTCAGATATTCGTCGTGAATGGGAACTCTGGCCTCCGGGTTCGTAGAGCAGCGTACTAACTGCGATACTGCCGTTCCCCATACACGCACGCACGCACACACGCACACACACACAAACACACACAAACAGAAACTTCAGTTATCCTTTAGTATGAACAGACTATTGTTGTGTTTCCGCATACAAATAAAATAAGTTTTAGTCCCTCGCCCTTTTGGCTGGAACGCAGAGAACTCTGAGCCTCAAAAAAGGTGAATGTTATTAAAGTTGCTGTCATTTTGTGTGCTCTTACAAGGTCACATCCGCTGACCTTCTGCACCACGACAACCAATCACGACGCCCACACCCGCATCCACCCCCCCCCCCCCACCGCCTGGCCCCCGAGAGCCTCAACACACGCAAAAAAAAAGACAACCGGTAAAGTTTACGGCTGTGAAAAAGAGATAAATGTGCCGGTTGATATTAGTGTTTTTGTTTGTATTCTCCTCTGAAATTATTGCGAGACGAACCGGCTGTGGGAAATGTCACGGGGGGGATGAGCAAAGCTCGGCGGCGTTCACCCAGCGAAGCGATGAGACTTTGCGAGCGTGTGTGTCACCTGCGCCGTGTCACAGAGGAACTGCTCGCGCTCCGTGATGCCTGCATGTCGGCTGTCAACTGTGACACGGAGAGGCCCGTGTTTGGCTGGCCCGTCGCTTCATTTCGTGTTTGGCTGGCTTGTTTTTTAAAATATTATTACCATTTTTGTATGCTTTGTTTCGTTCGAAACAACAAATCATTACTGTTCCCATCCCGTCCTAATCAGCGCACGGCCGTGGAAATAATGACCCCCGAGTCCCGACCGCCAAAGTCACGTCCGGCCCACCGTCCTCGCGACTGCTCCGGCGGCCCAGCGGCGCGTTCGTCTGCGTTCACTCTTTTGTTAGCGAGCACCTATTAAGGTGAGACGGAAGTTTGGTAACTGACCCGTGTGTGTGTGTGTGTGTGTTCCGTCTCAACCCGTTGAAATGTACTGTATCGAGCTTACTTCATTGCGTTGTACTGTTCTGTTTCAATGTGGCGCATTATGTTCATTGTACTGCATTGTATCATTATCGGCGTGAGAATATGCGCTGTAAATAATGCACCACATGCACACACACCAGCCAGGTGGCTCAGTGGTAGGTCGCGAATTCAAATCAAATCCTGATTGGGGGATGAATGAACCCATCATCCCTTTGGGGTCGATAAAGTTATTAGAGTGGGGAATGATGTGCTGTTGGATAGAACTCGCGGCCACCGAAGGAGTGTGGAATGAGCACCGATGGTACAGGGCTGTAAACCGTACACAAGCACCAGTGCCCCAAAGCTCATATGGCCACAAAGTCACGTACACGACTGTGGAGCTGTGCACGAGCCGATTTCATCGCTGCAGCCGGATTAGCCTCGACGGCAAAGATCCGTCCGTTCTACCAGCACCGTTTCTCCGGAATTTTTATTTATTTATTTGCCGCAACAAAACTCATTACAGTCTCATAATTTCACAGAGGGGCGGGGGGAAAAAATGATACAGCGGCACAAACATGAGAGAATTGCCTCTGACAGCAATTCGAAAGCTAATATTCCCCCACTCACCTCCCTCCAAATCGCTATAACAAAAAGCTGGCCTCGGTGTTGGCACGAGACGCGGTGTAAATCTTGGCAGCGCAACTGTCTATTCGCTCTGGCTCGCTTCAAACGTGCGAGTCTATCTCTCCGAGCATTTTTCAATTCCCGTTTTCGTTTGAGTGAGTGCCGTTTAAGTCCCAAAATAGTACAAAAAAAAATCGATAACAAACAAAAAATGTTCTCCTACAAGATTTATCCTACTCGCCGACAGGATATTAAAAATAAAATGTCCTTTATATCTGATTGAATAAATGCATTTTGGAGAGAGCGAAAAAGTTTTAAGTTGAAATAAGCTCTGTGTGACAGAACTTATCGAGTTACACAGCACGAGCCCCCAGTCGCGGCCAGTCCCCGAGGAACGACTCCGTTGTGGAAAACTGGTCAAAGTTACACAACGAATAAACGTCGACAGCCGGGATCGATCCACTGCTGGAAGCAGGCCTCGTCAATGTGCCGCTACCTCACACGATCCCGCGATGTAACGATCCATGCATTGCTCGGACATGAAACCGATTTCACCGCTCCATCTCCACGGTGGACGCCTTCTCGGATGCGTTCCGTTCCTTGTTTGCCGCTCCGTTATTATTCTTCGTCCATTGTCCATTATCCCTTCTGGCGGGAGTGTCCTTACCAGTTTGGATGGTGCCATTTAACCCGAGTATGTTCTGTGATCCACGTGTTCCTCTCTCCGTGCCTCTCAGTGCAATTCCACGCGCGTGCCATTCTATTCTTCTCTGAATTCACGTCAGCGGTGGCTATTAGACGCAAACCATTCCGTTTTGGAGAAAAACGGCGAGTTGCTCGTCGCACACGAATGCAGCTCGATTAGAATTCAGGTGAGCTGTGTCTGCTACTTCCGAACGGACACTCCACCTCCGTAGCCGCACGCGTGATAACTTAAAACCCGGTGACGCGCAGCACGCAAAGAATCGCTCCCACCGGAGCACGGGAGTAAAAATCCCAGTGCGTCGCGATACCGAGCGATAAAACACGCTCGCAGAACGAGCCTTTCAGAGGCGGCAAAATAAAAGGCAAATGAACGTTATTTTATTTCGAAAACGTAAAAGCCAATGGGCTGGTTACACGACGCAATTAAAAGCTTGCCCTTCGACGGCGATACGCGGCGGCCCGTGATTGATACTGCCCGTCGCAACACATCACCGCTTGGTCGTTTTGCCGGGCGCGAATATCGCTTCGGAAGTCCAAAGCTTCTGCTCTGATGCCTGTAGACAATTATTAATTGTCCTAATACGAAGCCTGATTAAGGCATTCCACGTACGGCCCAAATGTTATCTCGTGTAAACCTCAAACTAATGATTGTGTTGTATGTACGCCAATTACCGAATGCGCGCCCGCATTAAGGGATACACACACTAATATCTCATGCACGCACCATTAGCTTCATCAAACGCATGTCACTAATGATCTCAAATAACACGGCTTTCATAATCCCGCTCTCTGCCAATTGTCAATTATCTTATGCAACCTAACGCGCTCCCATGTAGACCTCGCCCATCTCCATACAACCTGTCTTTTCGCTGCACAAAGATCTCCCCCCCCCCCGCACGGCCTTGAGTAGGCTGCTGGGCTCACTGTTGTTAGCAAGCACTTGTGAAAGCTGGAGCAGCACAGGAGGGAGGTGGTGGTGCCGTCAGCACCACGCCCGGCCGTTTTTGTCTCCCAACTGCTGACGTTTTACACACCGCACAAGGTGCTCCTTTCAAGCTGAACTGCCCAAGATGAACTGGATATTCAGATATGACCGACGTCAGCCAAGTACAGGGTTAGAACGCAGGTTGTCAGGTTCGTAGTGCAGTGTGCTAACCACGAGATCATTGCTCTTCAAATCTCATGCGAAGACAAAGATACCCCGTATGGCCTTATATCTTTTGGGGCAAGTGCTGTTCGGCCGGCACGGCACACAAAGGGGTGGGTGGCCTGCCGCCTCTGTTTCTCCAGTGGCAATGTCTACACATGTTTACACATTGCAACACAGTACTCATTTGAATCGTCTTTGGGGAAGCCAGGACCAGTTTGGATAATCGCCACTGGTGTTGGCCACGAGCGGAAATCGAACTCGGGTCGCCAGGTTCGTAGCGCAGCGTGTTAAGCACTAAACTGCCGCTCCCCATCCACACACACACATTGTCACGTATGTTCTCCTGTTAAAGTAGTTGAATGCTGTCTAATCACACCTGACCTGGGATCAGTACACCCAGCAGAACGACCCCGTGAGAGCCGAGTCTACACGAAGGCTGCTCCTGCGCGGTGCGGCTCGCGGCATGTGGATCGCGGTTCGCCCGCGAACGTTTGCGGGTACGTCTGCACGTGTGTGTGCGCAGCGACACGGCAGTGCGCGGGCAGTCCGTTGCCAATTTAACCCCTGACCCCTGATGGGGGGGGGGGGGTTCAGGCTTCGCGGTGCGTCCCACTCACGTGATAGCCGCACGGTGATGTTCTCAGAGAGCGCCGTGCCGCCCTCGTTCTCCGCCGAGCACTGGTAGATGCCCTCGTAGGCCTCGGCGATGCCGGCCGCCACCATGTCGATGGTGATGGTGCCCGAGCCCTCGTGCCAGCTCACGTAGGGGTCGTCGTCCGGGTCAAACCGCCGCCCGTCCTTGCGCCACTGAAACCTGGCAGCGGCAACAGTGCGGCTCTGAGGTCAGGCGGTGTGGGTGCTGTTGTTGGTGATGATTATAGTGGTGCTGGTGCCGGTGGTTGTTCAGATGGTTTTAGTGGTGGTGGTCGCCCTGATGGTGGTGCTGGAGGTGGTGATGACTTCAGATTGCCAATAAAGAGCCAATTACTGGACATTCAGTTGAAAGTGATTTAACAATTCAATTGCTTTGTCGGAGAGAATTGTAAATACACCCACTCTCTCACTCACCCACCACCTTCAAGTTTATATTCGGGGCTGTGTGAAGTTATATGGTCTATCGTTTGGTGTTTGTAGCTGCAGTCCCTGTGGTGGTGGTGATGATGATAGTGGTGGTGGTGGTGCTGGCAGTCATGTTGGAGGTGCTGGTGGTTTCGCTGGTGGTGATGATTGCGATGATGGTGGTGGCGGTGTTGACGATTATGGTGGTGGCTGCAGTTGTGCTGGTGGTGATGGCTATCGTGGTGGAGGCATCGTTTATTGTTACGCCCGCGACCATAAATCGCGGCCGCACGTGGGACGCTCACCCAGCAGCTACCGGCGCTGACTCATCGAGTCATAAGCGGTTCGGGGACAGACGCCGAGTGCAAAACGAAACTGCCCGAGCGAGGGAAATGAAATCAATAAATATCAGGGAGGCACGCACGGGGCGTCGCGCTGGGAACAGCTGAACAATAAAGAGAGGAAAAGAAAAAACAACGGTGTGATCGACGGCGCTGTCCCTGCGCGCATCCCTCGCAACGTGGAAAGAGGCGACGCCGCAACTTTCCTCGCACCGATGCTTGAGCCGGTTGGTCACTGCACGCTCCGCAATATTTGCGCAGGTGGCGGGGGTCACAGTCGTTGAGGGAAACTCGGCCGCGAGGACGGCGGTGAGGAATGGCGCGGCGCTGGGGCCCGCGGAGGAGGCAGTGAGCCCACGCAGCGCAGGGGGCCAACTCCTCTCCCCCGGGTCCGGGTTTTGACACCGGGGACTGCAGCCCGGGGAACTCGGATTGTTAAAGGGGGTCCTCCCCCAAAATCTATAACAGCTACTTGCCACCCCCCTCCCCCCCCCCATGAAACGTAACCCTGCGCACTGTGGCTTTTGTTGTGGATCGCTGACGCACGCCCGCACGCACGGGCGCCTTGATAATACCCTCGTATATCTCACTAACGGCAAAAAAAAAAAAATGGGGCGCCTGTGAAAAATTGATGACGCCGCAACTCTATTTAATGGACTGCCGAGCATGCAGGCACGTCCATGCCTTGCCCCGGCACGGGCCGGACTGGGGGAGCGCGTCCCGCACGGAATAGAGCCGCGCTGAAGATCGCGCGTGCGTCCTGTGCGCCGACTCAAGGTGAATTATAACGCGACTGAGCGGACGCGAGAGAGAGAGGGAGGGAGGGAGACGTGAGGCAGGTAGACGGGCGACTGGTGAGACGGAGGGAGGTCGCTTACTTGGGCGTTGGGTTGCCTTGGCCCTCGCACTCCACCACGATGTTGTCCCGTGGGTCCACGATGTAATCCACCGGCGACTGCCGGGTGATGGACGGAGGCTGCTTAACTGCAAGATATCGACGGGTTAACAAAGTGTTGATTTTTATTATGAAAAAAGGTACCAGCATTCGAGCGGTTTGCTGGCAAACAAAACGATCGAACACGTCCGTTGGATCATTTCCCGCACCACCATCGCCATAACACAGTACGATCGCAAGACGACCAGCATGGTTGGCTATGCACGGTGTGAAAGAAGTTCAACACACATACGTACAAAGTGTCTAGGTGTGGCCGCACCTTAAGTCGCTGCGTAAAAAAGAAACATTGAGGGCATGTGAGAAAGATGACTGCTGTATTGAAGTTTGTCGAGGTGATGAACATTGTCAGAGCAGAAGAGGAACGGTCTCAGGTCCGGACTTCACCAGGGGGATTATCATTATCGTTATTATCGTTATCGCTTGTTCAACCAGGAAAGCATCATTGAGTTTCAAGACTCTTTTTCACCAGGGTCCTGCTACATTTTTCACAGTGGATGGCGACGATTGCTATACATTGTTCCAAAAATCAAGTGACTTGGAAAAAAATGTGGACCGTGATGCCGGCACACAATGGCCTCTATAAATGGTGCCACGGGATTTCTAAACTTCCCCAGCGACGCGAACGGCGCCTCTCTTTTACGGTCGATACGCCCCCACAGCGTTAACCAGGGCAGCCTGTCGGATTCGAACCGCAAGCCTTTGGACAGCCAGAGGGAGGGAGTTTCAGGCAGCGGTGGGGACAGCAGCGGGCAAGAAGCGACCTCTTATCGAGCAGAGGTTGAACGGGGCCTTTGCCATTGCCTTATGAAGTAATAACAAATAATATTAACAATGCCCTTTAATTAGGCCACATAGTGGGTGGTACAGGGTTCTGTGGTAAACTTGTTATACTGTCCGTCTGGGCTTCCAAGGCGCCACTGACCAGAGTGGTGAGGTATAGCCGATTAACTGCACAACTTTCATCTGGCAATGAATTTTATAAAGGGCCGTACGTGTTAAATTGTTATGAAGCCGGCCTCACTGAGTCTCAAGACTAGTTATTGTTAGGGCCCTACCGTTGGGATGTTTGGCCAATTCCATTTATGAATATTTGGCATACGTACCACATTATTTGCTTTTTGTTTAGATTAAAGAATCTCAAACCACGAGAAAATAACAATGTTGGGACAATGTGCTTAACAGCATTGAGGTGATACGTGGCTACCGATGGAAAGGTCAGCTCATTATATTGCATTCATAGCGTTTATCCTTGACAATAGAGGCAAACCATTTACAGCCCACGCAGCTTCAAATACCCGAGAATTTGATTGTCCCACGATGCCAAATTCACGCATTGTGGCTTAAAGACAAAGCTGCCTCGATGCCTCACACCAATGTGTCTAGTCCCGGCTGTGATGTTTCCTTATTTGGCTACGACACGGACACACAATGGCCTTGCTTTATATTTTAAACGTAAATGATGTTGTCCATTGTCCTTCGTGCACTGTGCAAATTGTGAATGCATCCACACACGAGTGTGTTTTTTTTACGCAGGAAATGCCACGGTAATGGGATTACAACGCACATAAACGCTTAATGGAATTACACAGGCGATTCTGCAGTAACAGAATTCTACGGGTGATTCTGGGGGTAACGAAATGACATCGCCGATTCTGCGAGGTAACGGAATGACAAATGAGATTTGGCGTTAAAGGAATCAGGAAAATTATTCTGCGGGTAATGGAATTATGCAGATTTCTCGGTGTCAGAATTACACGGCTGATTCGGCGGGATGACTTAACTACGCATGCGATTCCACGGCAATGGAATCAGTCGGGTGATTCTGCGTGTAACGGAATGATGCATTTTTCATGGTGCCAGAATTACACGGCCGATTCTGCGGGGTGATTTCTACGGTAGTGGAACCACGAGACCGAGATGCTAGAACTCATAATTTGCGCCAATCTGCTGCGTATAGCATCTACAAACTGAGGTGACGGTGTATCAATAATCATCCGATTAGCGTTCGTCGGTAGTGCAACGAGTCCACAAGGACCCCCGCAGTCCCAGCAGCCACTCGAGGGGGCGACGCTCGCCCCAAAGCAAGTCAAATATAATCGATTCTTGAATTTAATTGCGACGATTCTGAATGGCGGAAATCCACGTGAATCGCGACGGGGATGAATTGTCACAACCCTTTACGGAAACCGAAAGGGCCCAAGGGATGCATTTGTAAAAACTGCGAGCCCGTCGTGTTTCCGTGCATCTTGCTGTAATCCCGTTACCGTGTGAATAGATCGCGTATTAAAGGTAAAGAGGCAGCCCTGCGATTGATTACTTGCTCTTGCCACTGCTGGCTTCGGGGCCTCCACTCAAAGCGAGCTCTCGAGAGGGCGTTTTTGCTCGATACTCTTCCAATCTGGCCAGATATTTCGTACGCGGTGGGAGTTACCTACACTTCACCCCACCGCATGTGACCTGACAATCATGAGACTAATTGTGGTGAGACTCATTTATGCTGCTGGGTGGAGCGAGGGGGGGTAGGCGCGGGGGAGGAGGGGGTCAAGAAACGTGTCCCCCGCATTGTTTCAACTGCCGGGCCGCCGAGACATGATCGTATCCAATCAGAATCTTGATTCAGACTGGAGGAATCCGATGAGCTATGAAGCTCTTTTTCACAGATGTCCCATCTCTCCGGATTCCAAGTCGCAGTGTGTGCTCAAGCTAACGGGCAGCATCGCCGAACCCACACATTAAACAATAAAAAATTAATAACGCGGTATTGTTCTAAGATTGTCCTTTTTATTATTATTTTTATTTCCCCCCCCAAATGTGATGAATGGCTGTTGGCTGTCCCGTCACGCGCGTGCCAAACGGGCGGTGTGGCCGTGGCGCGTGCTGCGGCGTTGACCTTTGAAGCACAAGGGGCTAGGCGAAGGCAGAGGCGTTGGCCGCTAACTGGCGGAAAATAAAATTAACCGCATGATACCGGCGGCAACGTGTGCACCCCCGGCGTGCGTGACGACAAATCCGCCACTAATCCCGCACGGCGCGTGCAGGGATCATCCCGCGCACGACCTTTTTTTTGCCGGATTGAATTTAAGCTTCACGTAATTCAGAATCGGAATTTGAACTCGAAGAGTCGAAAAAAAGAGAGAAACTAAGAATTTGGGACGGTGGTTCCGAATGAAAGTCCTGACGGGTGAGGCCCTCACTTTGCAGTGGATTGACAAGGAAAGCGTACTGTGTGTACAGCACAGCATTGTACTATACATGATGTGAAGCTTTCAAATCACGTATGCTGTGCTGTACACACACGTAGGTATAAAATAAAATTGTATTTTATTTTAAAATTGTATTTTATTTTATATCAAATAGTATGTAATATACATGTTGCCTCCACCAAATTTCCGTGCGGTGTCTCGGGACTGGGGGGTGGGGGGCTCTGGGTAGTGGGGGGCTCGGGGTAGTGGGGGGCTCGGGGGGGGGGGGTGGTGGGGGGGGTTGGGGGGTGGGGCTCTAGTGACTGGGGGCTCGGGCTCTTGCGATACGAACCCCAAATTGCATCGGATTTGCGCTGCGCTTCCGCAGGTCCCCTGCTAATGCAGCACCACACTCCGTCTCGTGTCACCATGCAGATTGCACGAATGGAACAAAATTGGGGAAGAAGATGGACCAAGGAAAAAAAACTGAATTGTGTGGGGCTTTTGTGTTTGGTTGCAAATAAGTATGAAATAAATAAACCGACAACGCACCCCCCCCCCCCCCCCCGCTGTGTCTTATCACCTGTGCTCATGTCAGCGTCAATCTGTGGTTCCCAATCAGGGGGTTCAACACGTCTGCCATTGGCCGGCCACCGTCCCCTGCCCACCCATGGCGTTCATGGGAAATGTGTTTGTTTATTTCTCTGACACACCATCGCGCGAGTCACATTGTCTGTAATTGGGTGCTCAGTTGGAAGCGGCAGATCTGCCTTCGTTAAACCCAAATTGGGGCTCTTTTCGAAGCGACGACGCGATGGGGGACAGGGTAGCGTGTTATGAACAATCACGCCCAAAGTCGTAGCGATGGGCACGCACGCACGCACGCGCTGCGTGAGCAACAGACGGGTGCAGGAGCAAGTTGCAAGCGGGTCAGCACAACGCGCGGTCAGAGCTCCATCCCTTGCCGCGGATGACATCAACCAGCAGAGGAGGAGACAAAGGCCGCCGGGAGCGGTTTGGCTGGCCACACTAAACACGCCGAGTCGGCCTTCGTAGGTGCTCGCTAACTGCACTTGTGACCGACAGCATGACGTGGAATCTTTTTCTTTGTTTTGTTACGGGCGGATCGGTCGTTGTAAAGTTCGCGTGCTGCGGTTGTGAACGAACCTCGCTGCTGCAGGTTTGATTCCAGTCCCCGGCTAATGTCGGTGGTGATTATCTGAACTGGTTATGTACCCCACCCCGCCCCGGCTCCCCTGAACTAGGTTGACTCAGCATTAAATGAGTACTTGGTGTGGGTGGCACTGGGGAGACAAAAGCAGCCAGGCATGGTGCTGGCCACACCATGTTGTACTGTTCGCGGCCTTCACAGTCACTCGATAGCGGCACTTCTCTCCATTGTTAAAAGGCTCCACGGTGAATCTTTGTCTTTGTGTAAGTGGGCACATGTGTATGTGGAGTACACACGTGGCACTGCGTGTGTGTGTGTGCGTGTTGTTTACATGAGCGTATTGACCGGAGCGATTACATTGTGGCGAGTCACAATGACAGAGTCCTTCGCAGCATCCTGGTGGGCGGACGCCCTGGGCAATTCAGTAAATTTAAAAAATAAAAATATTTTTTTGCACCGATAACAACATAAGGCGGTTTTGAGCGGTGCAGACGCTCAAATAACTGACAGTTGTATTCACAGAGCGAAGCAACAAAGATGAAAACAAACAAAAGCCAAACGGAGCAAAGAGGCAGAAATATACGAGTCGCGATCGCGCGGTGTGTAAGAAACTCATTAGGCGTTGCTGCGAAGCATCGTGGATCATAACATGTGCACAGTACATAGACACACCCCTCCCCCCCCGTCCGTTCTGTGCCTCTACATACAGTTGTCTGCAGAGTGCTCTTGCCAAAGACGTCTAGCAAACAGCAGCAATTGTATAACGAGCCCGACTGCTGATGAGACCCAGAAAGTCAAAACCCACGCAGTGCGTTTTGCTTGCTTACACAAACGCTGCCGGAAAACGTTGGTCTGGAAAGACGCCACAAAAGGGTGATGGACTAAAACACATTTTTTTTTATTTGAATGCGGAGAGACAGAACGGCAGTTCTTATACGAAAGAAGAGTGCTGTTGAGAGTATGATCCGTCTCGTGCGCACACACACACACACAAAGGGTGGACTTACCCTCTTTCATGATTTGGGCTGCATCAGAGATGGAGAACAGCAATGGGAAAAAAGAGAGACATAGGAAAATATTAAAACGACATGAGTAGTGGAAATAGCACACACGTACGCTCCAAACCAATAACTTCAAGGCAAGTAATGAAAAGTTACTGACAATAGCCACTCAAAGTGGTTTTCTGCTCAAATTAACATTCAGTCGATGATCATCTTCTTCTTTGTTTCTTTCGGTTAAGCCACGTCTAAAGATAAAATAATAAATTAAAATAATAGCATATTACGACGTTTCGATTGCAACACAAGCAATCATCATCAGGCATAAAAGAAATAGCAACAAAAATCTAACTAGAAAACTATAGACAGACATACAAGCAGACAGACATCACAACGGCACACAGAGAGAGGACACAAATCGGCACAAAGAGAGGGGTCGTTGTGCCGATATGTGTCCTCTCTCTGTGTGCCGTTGTGATGTCTGTCTGCTTGTATGTCTGTCTATAGTTTTCTAGTTAGATTTTTGTTGCTATTTCTTTTATGCCTGATGATGATTGCTTGTATTGCAATCGAAACGTCGTAATATGCTATTATTTTAATTTATTATTTTATCTTTAGACGTGACTTAACCGAAAGAAACAAAGAATAATTCCTGCAGTCACGAAAGCTCAAAAATTAAGATGGTCATCTTCTGTTCGCAGCCCTGAGTCATTGGTGGAAATTGCACAATACTTTTACGGGGGTGCTTCTAAAAAAATAGGACGAACACTGTTGGCTTCCCCACAAAGTGGTTCAAATTTTATCGACCCTGAAAGGATGATGATGGGCTAAGTCAACCCCGAGACAGGATTTGAACTCGCAACCTTCCGATTGCGAGCCGCTCGCTCTACCCCCACCCCCCGAGCCACTTGACCACCAGCGCAGCTTCTTTTCAACCGGAGATGGATGGGGCTGGTCTCCAGAAAATATTTCCCCCGAACCGGAGATTTGTGGGGTTGAGTATTGAGGGGATTGGGGGACCCCCAGAAAATATAAAAGCCCTGACCACGAGAATGACATCGCCTAAAAAAAAAATCTATGCAGTTCAACATTCTTTATCTGACCAGGTGATCAGGCCTACTGATGTTCATTCGTAGAGATGTGAGAATGTATGGATTCATCAATTAGGATCGATTCAAACGTTTGAGGTGCGTCGTGTGTGTCGGATCAATGTATTTCGATTCAAATCGGTTCAAAGTTAATTTTTTTGCCACTGAAGGTTCAACAGTTTTTTAACGCTTAAAGAATCTATAAAAGAACACAACTCTAGATTCTACATGTACCTCAATGGAAACAACAACAAACGATCAATTTGCAAACAGAAATGTGACCCTGAATCCTTGCAATTCATGGCATCGTGCATGGCATCTCTATTCATGGCATCTCTACTCATGAGCTCTGTTGCAAGCAAGTCCTGGGTCAGCATTGTTATAACATACACACAATTTTCAGCATGATTATTCTTTCATGATAATTTAGCTGTAAGTCATTTTCAGTTTTATATGCTGTGAACTGGACACACAAACTGACTCATCTTGCACATGGGGTTGGTGGGTTAGAGATAGGAAGGAAATCATGGACAGAAATAAAATAATCCAAACAACCAAATATCCCTAAATTCACCTGATCTCATTGGATCTCAGAAGCCAAGGAACATCAATCCTGGTTTGTACTCATTTTGGAGACCACCAGGGCTTGCGAGTTGTTGTAGGTGTGAGGCTGAATGGTGTGGCCAGCAGATGGCTTAGTTGAGCACTACCCCCTCATATGCTACGTGCTAGGTTTTCTCACTGTTCTCAGCTTTCTTCACGTACGTACAAAGCAAAACAGAAATTAAAATGAATTGTCCTATTATACCAATGTAGCACAAAGTCTTAAGTCTTAATGAGGCTACACTGTGTGAGTAATTGGCATTAGCAATTGTATGAAAGGCGTAATCTCTTGAACGCTGCCTAAAGTAGGTTTGAGGGAGCAAGTATTTGTAAAAAAAATGTTTGACATTCACTGTGTACATATTTTAAATATCGTACATATTTTATATCTTTTCGCAAGTCTGGGTCATTACTGTTGGGAATCCAAACCCATCAGCCTGGCGAGGGGATGAGAGATGGATACATCTGAGAGCTCACGCATGACTACGTAAAATAAATATGTAAAAATAAATTCCACCCCCATCATCATTCACACTCGGAGGACCATGCTGTCAAACGACAAACGACTGTACAGGAACTGACATTTCTTCATAACAAGTTGTCGTTTAAATCAAAATGCAGGAATGAATTCATAATCGTGAGGCCCTTGCTCCCGTTCAAGCTCATTTAATAATATCTGAAAATAATGCAAATAAATTGTTATCATTATTTTCTGCCCTTTGCCAAAACACCGCTGTAGAAAGGCCTCTTTCACATGCTGTGTCGGTTGTCAGGGGTTGTTTGACCATACTTCACCACGCTTGTCAGTGCAGGTTGGTTAAGGGGGTGGTTGGAAGCAGAGAGGGGGAGGGGGGTGCCCAGGACCGGTTTGGATCTCAGTCGTAAGCCATCGAGGTCAGGTTACCGGGTTCATTCGTGCATGTGCACTATAACCACTGCACAAGCCCATTTAATTAAGTGAAACAATATCATTGCCTTTAGTGATAATAGTAAAAACACTCAGGATTGCTGGGATGTAAGGATCATCCTGTCGTGTTTCCACTAATGAGGAATTCAAATGACACATTTTCACTGAACCGAAAAGTTCCCTAATTTTTTTTACTTTAACTTCACAACACACATAGCTGGCTCCAACAAAATATTTTCCATGGCCAACGAGTGAGATGACATTTTTAACTGTAACGTGCCCGGGGGGTACGTCAACCGACGAGATGGAGCAATCAAATCAGCAGGTGTATTCATTCAGAACCTTGAATGCATCAAATGCTTGATCCTCTATTGATGTGCGTGGCACTTAACCCTTTCCCGTTCCGAGGCGTCTGCAAGTTGCAGGGTGGGGTCCCGTGCGCTGCTGAATCTCGGAACGTGACAGCGGCTGAGCTTAAACTTCTTTTAGAGACGTTGTTACTGACCGGAGGAAACTGTAGCCACCAGACCGCCCTCTATGATAGCTGGCGCCAAACTGTGCCACGCGCCCTTCCGTATTGCCTCGTGGGAGCCTCGGTACCGAAAAAGTTAGTTTATTTCAATTTAAAGCTTTCGTGACTGGAGGGATTCATCTTCTTGGTTCTTTAGGTAAAGTCACGTAGAAGGGAAATAATAAAATAATAAAAATAAAACATAATAAAATAATTCTCACGAAGTTTCGGCCACAACACAAGCAGCCGTCCTCAGGTGAAGAACAGGGCTGTCGAGAAGACAGCGTCTGTTCAGAACAGGTCTGTTCTTCACCTGAGGACGGCTGCTTGCATTGTGGTCGAAAAGTCGTGAGAGTTATTTTATTATTTATTATTATTTTATTATTTCCCTTCTACGTGACTTTACCGAAAGAACCAAGAAGATGAAAGTTTTTTATTTTAGTTTTCCTTCCGATTTCGTTTTGATGTACCCTTTCTCTCACTATCCTGTCCGCGGTCACGTTGACACGTTGCCGTTAATTCCGAGCCTTTGTACAGCGTTGTGCGATGAAATGTCATTTTACGCACTATTCTTAGCGGCCGCTACATTCACCACCACGTAAACAAAACATTCGATGCTTGAATAAAATCTTTAGGGCAACAGAGCGAATCGTTACGCCTCCACTGTAAAAATAAATAAATAATCAACTCCGGGGGGGTGCTTGCATCGCGAGCCGCACGCGAGCTGAAGTGTTCGCCGAGAGTTCTGCTTGACTGTGTTGTGTTGCCATCTGTAATAATTACACCACGGCAATTAAAATATAAAAGAACATTTCGAGAGACCGCGTGCTCTCTTCCTTATGAATGCACCCACGTCATAGCCACACATTGAGACAGGCTTCACACGAAAAGAAGATAATTAATCTCAATTGGCTCTCACCTGGTGTCATTCACGATGCTGAATTGAGAAAAAAATGTTCACGGCGACGGTTTCGCCCCATTTTCTGGCTTTTGAAGACACGCGCGCCGTCATCTTATCCCTCTCGTCAGCCACCGCGATGATGAGACTGAATGACGCCCCTCTACTTGAGCCACGCCAAGGACGCTGACCGACGTGCCGCGTCGGGGACATGTCAGCACAGTCATTGTGGCACGAGGAGCGGCTCCCATCGTCAACAAGGAACCAATTCCCCATGGATGACCGTACAATCTGCCTGCCTGGGCTTGATCTTTGGCGCCCGTGACCGGGACCTGCCGCACAGGTTCCAAAGCGGCCAAGGCCTCTGCGTGCGTGTAGCAAAGACTGAGCAGGTGGGGCTTACGTGACAACCTGGACTGCAAATGTTGTGCAAGACAGACAATGACGCCACACGTCGTTGAAGACCGTGTCCGCTATCAAAGCCTGAGCGGAGGTCTGAGGGCGACGCTGCATTCTGTTTTAGCCAAGCTGCCCGGCTTGGCTAAAACACACACATCTAAACCTTTCCTTCGCCACATCCTCCATCAACGTGTCTACCCAGCGCAGTCGTGCACTTCCTCTACCTCTTGTTCCGTCGACTCTGGTGTGTGGTGACCCAGGTCAGTCTTGCAAATGAGATATTATTCTGGTCTGAGGATTAAACATCGCAACTATGGCCCCCTGGTGGAAGACTAATGCCCCAGGCCACTCTTCCAAATGAGACCATCCTGGTCTCTTGAATCCTCACCTGGTTAAACAAAATAAACTTGCACTCTGTGGTCCAGCACAGGGATTGGTCGGCTGCACAAACTGCGAAGGATATTCCCAACTCTGCATGGTTATGCAATGGTCAGGAGACGACAGTACAGCAAGTGGGATGTTGGCCTATGTGAACTAGCTGTTGAGTGATAATTGCACCGGATGTGTAGGGTCATTTTTTTCTCTCCAGCTAATACAGTTTCCTCCCAAAAGCAAAACACT